GAATTCCTCTTGAATTAAAAAAATATTTATTAATTTTGAATTTAATTATTTTTATGTATTAGTTTTTTTTGTAAACCTTTAGAGCAACAAAAATTTTCGAAAAAAAATTTTAAAATTAAAAGCAACCTTATTTTAGCTTACAGACTCAATTTTATTCAATAAGATAAGTTTTTTATCCTCAAAAAAATTTTCAAAAAATATCCGAGTCAATTTCAATTAAATATGTAAAAATCTTCATTGAGATGTAGCAGTTCGTGTTTCGAACATATATGGTTCAATCGGCTAAGAACCGCGTAAGTAACACATTGTTTCCATGTTCGAATCTAACCCTTCACATTGCGATATAATTAGATACACACCCGTCCGGACTAGTCTGAGTTCGTCTTCCTACAGTATGTCATGTGAACCGTCCCTGACGGACTTCCTTTTTCAATTTTAAATCGTTTTCAGATGACTGTCATGTCGCCCCGACCTGTCTAGTCTTTGTCTCAAAAAGTCCTCGACCAGGACTAGTCTGCATTTTCGATAATAAGTTGATGGCTAACCGTCCATGAACTAGTCTTTGACACGTCTTTTTCTCGAAAAAGACTAGACATCATAGGGGGCATTGACGCCCGTCTATTATGATTTTTGAACGTGGGTCACGATGCAGTAGAAATTGAACTAGTCCCGGACGAGGACTTTTTGAGACAAAGACTAGTCGGGTCGGGGCGTCATGACTAGAAAAAATACTCGACATTTGGCCCGTCACTCGTTCGCTTTGGAAAGTCTTACATCTGCTGCTCAATAATTAGTAATTGTTTGTATATTTTTGTTAATAAAATTGTCTTACCGTCAACTGGTACGCACATTGAACCAAAAGAATATTACTGAATAGTTGAGGAAAACTACATTGGCAAGAAGTAAAATCTTTTTATGACAGCGTTCGAATAATAATCACTTATTGTTGATCGATTTCTCTCAAATAACTTTATTTGGTGGTTACCGTTCTATCGTTTTATTCAATTAAACCTTGATTCAGAACAAAATTTCACGGATAGTGTGTTTGGTAGTAAAGAAAAAACAACTGATTATCAGAAACATAAAAGTTATTAACTTGAAATTTTTCTGATAATAGTTCGACAAGAATTATTTCTTTGAATATATCTCAAAAATACGCACAGCCAATGCGTTTGATGTAATTTGTGCCAAAATATTGTTTGACTTGAGCAACTCATACAAGTCATGTCACACAAAGAAATATTTTTCTTTTTATAATTGCAGGAGATAGTTTACACCTGTCCTGCGTTTTTCAGAGATATGATACGTTAACTGTAATGTTAGCTGTTTATAGGAAAGCAAAAACTGATTAGAGGGAAATGAATTATGCCTAACTCTACACAATATTCTTCGGAAGATAAATCCTTCCATCACTAGACCACCGACATGTAAAAGACGTCTCATGACGGAGTTGACGGAAGAAAACGAGCACGTAACCTAAAATTTCGCAATCAGTTATTCTTCTAGTAGTTTGTGATTCTGACGAGTTTGCCTATAAGATTGATCTGTCATTAATCGAAGAAAGGTGTATATCCTTTTCCAAGACTCCATCACCATTTTATTGAGATTAATGAAATCATAGATGAAAAACATAGTTACTAATTGTAAGAAACAAAAACAGTATTCCTCAAATTGTCACGGAGCTTCTTTATTCTAGATATTCTGTTAATTGATTTTTATACCCTTACTGTTGAAATTCGAAGAATTTAGATATGACCATTCGAGATTCTTGTCATATAATTTAGGTAAAAGGTAGCTTTATACAACTTGATCAACTCATAGATCGAATTCAATCTGATAATACTAGAAGAATTCATCATAAAAATGGAGAACCACTGTCAATCACCATGTTTAATCCAATTAATACACAAGAGCAATCATCTACTGAACTCAATGGATATTTCGTTCATTCACAACTTCTCATTGATATTGTTTTTAGAATGAAGTCGTCTTCGGCAGATAAACATGAACTAATTTCTTTGTGCAAGGAAGAATACAAAAATAATGCTAGTACATTGGCTGTGATTGCCGATTTTGAGCGAGATTATGTATCTGATCGAGCTGTATGGTGGTACACAAGAGAATCGTTTCTTTATAGAATACTAAATAAAGCGCTTCGGACACAAAATATCGATCTTATTTTTCTCTTTCGATTCTTTCTTCGTGATCTTCGACAACAACTTGAGCAACACCAATTATCGTCATCAATTCGTACCTATCGTGCTCAACTAATATCCATAGAAGAATTGGAAAAATTGAAAAAATCGATTGGATATTACCTCTCAATGAGTTCATTTCTGTCCACTAGTGTCGATCGCGAAGTAGCATTGTTTCTCCTTGGTGATTCCGATGTATCAGACGATTTAGTAAGAGTCCTATTTGAGATTGATCTTGATCCTCAAGTTGTTACAGCAAAACCTTTTGCTGATATTACTTTACTAAGCTATTTTGGTGAAGAAAAAGAAGTTCTAATTATGCTAGGCTCAATTTTTCTCTTGGAAAATATCTATATGGATGAAAATGGAATTTGGATTATTCGAATGATTTTATCGAGTGAAAAGGATCAAGATTTTAACACATTATTTGAGTATATGAAGAAACAATATCAGAATGGAGAAACAGGTCTTCTATCGTTTGGTGATTCCTTGTGGAGAATGGGAAAATTTCATGATGCAGAAAAATACTATCGGCGTATGCTCAATGAGTTACCTCAAGGGCATGCAGACTTTGCTGCTTGTTATTATGCACTGGGTTTGGTGACATCAGCCAAAGGTAACTTTAATTCCAGTCTTGAATGGCATCACAAAGCTCTAGAGATGAAAACACGAACTCTGGAACCAACGAATACTACAATTGCTGATAGTTACAACAGTATTGGCGTCGTTTATAGACAGAAGACAGATAATAAACGAGCTTTAGAATCTTATCATAAAGCATTAACCATCTACCAAAAAGCAAATAACAAAGATCATTCGAGTCTAGCCATATGCTTCAATAATATGGCTAATATCTACAACGAAGAAAAGGAATACTCCGAAGCACTCAGGTGTCACCAGATGGCATTGGTCATATTTCAGAAACACCGTCCTCCCGATCATCCTGACTTGGGTATAGCACACAATAGCATTGGAAGTGTATATGGTTCTCTTGGCGAACATGATCTTGCCATGGAACACTTTAATTTATCATTGAAAATTTATAAAAATCCCTCCCACCTGAACATCCTCATGTTGCTATGACGTTAGAAAATGTGGGCCTAGCTCATGAAGATAACGATGATTTAGAACAAGCACTAGTATTTTATAAAAAAGCTGCATCCATCTTTCGACATTGCTTGCCTTTAACTCATCCTCGTGTCATTGAAATCGAAAGTGATGTTCAACGCATTTTATCGAGTTTAAAATAATATTGTTTTCATTCTATTCGTTGCTATATTTCCATTACGTAAAACTGACAGCAAAAACAACGCAGAAATTCATCATTGCTGTTCAGATTTATCTTTAGCCAGTGCGGCTGTTTGTACTCTACTCGTTCGCATGGACATCCCACACATTCACACCTACTTACCCAACCAGACGTATACCGACACCCACACCCACACCCACACCCACACCCCACCCACACCCACACCCACACCCCACACCCCACACCCACACCCACACCCCACACACAGTATGGGTATAAATAGATGAAGAAGGAATCCACACCACATACACTAACATCCGCATTCTTTTGAATGCGTTTTAATAGCTCTTTTTAGGTCATTTCTCAGCAGTATCGACTCGTAGTATGTTCACCATGTGATATTTCGCGTATTAAATGTAGTCAACGCAACAGATTGAAAACTTTTAATTGAAGATGATTTTTCTTTTCGTCTTTCTAACTATATATCTTCTTTCATGTTAGTAAAAACAGCATAAAATTTATTGCTTCTTAATCATTGTGTAACTAGAATTGAAGTATGCTACATGAAAATGGTCACGATATCATCATTTCACTTGGCATCCGTTAGAATCACGAACCTTTATGCCAAATGTTTTTTCTGCATCGGTGATATGTATGTTTTCATCAATATAATACGTATGAGTCGATATCTCTCGATTTATAACTTATATCATATCATAACAGATCTGATATTAATGAGAATATTGATTGATTATGACTAGAAACGCGATAAGTGCAAGTGTGACTAACACCGGGTCTCAGCAGGTGAGTGTGAGTGTGAGTTCTCGTCTAAAACACGCCCACACATCGCATTTGCAAAGAAGATTACTGAAGGAAAATATACACGAAGGTGTCGCCAAAAGACATAGTAAATGCTGTAAATCTAACGAAGAACTAATATGACTGCTAACATATCAACCAAGACTGTTATTTTCTAGAGTGTACACTAGAAAAATACGTTAGAGTGTGGGTGTGTTCTATATTCACAACCAAAATCGATAAAATTTTCCATATTTTCAACCGTGTCCGTCTGCATCTAAATAAACTGAAATTCAATTTTTTTTCTTTTTTTTAACATGTGTGACATACAATTTTTCTCGTTTTCAATTCACTTTTCTTTTGCTGTTTCAGGTAGACATGATGCGTATTACAATAAGAAAACGAAAATTCTTTCACAGCACAAGGATTATTTATTTTTCTTTCTACACTTCATCTTTAATAATTTTTTTTTAAAAGAATGGAAGTCTTATAAAATCAAAAAAGAAAGCAAGGCATCACATGTGCCATTGATTTAGAAAGGTAAGAAGCATCAATGAAAGAGAAAAAACTATTAGTATGGCAAGTCAGCAAGTTTTAGAATGAAATCGAGATTCAAACTAGGGTTAAGCAATATTTAAGGTCTTATAGAAGGATTGAAGCTAGTCAAGTTCTCTTTCACCCTATTCATACTGCGAGAAAATTTGTATTATATTTCGACTTCGATTTGATCTATTTTTAAAGGTCGTACAAAAATCGTTATCAAAAGAATATTTAGAGTCTTCTATTGTCAGAGAAAAATTATTCTATAAGCATACATCTATGTTTTTGTACATAATATTTATTTTTACTTTATTTAAGAAGTGTTTTGTTTGCATTTTTTTTCTCGTCTGCGATGAAGAAAAAGATTAAAATGTATGAATAACTTCATTGCTAAGAAAGCTGTATTATTCTATTAGTTTTTCTTCCAATGCCTATGAAAATATTGATATAAGCTGCATCGTCTTAGACTGAAACCGAAATGAAGGATGTGGATGATTACCAGATCTATTCTAACATTCACAGTTGGAGTGCTATGAGGTGCTAAGAAAAATTCAAGCAAGTTAGTAGGATACCTAGACTTCAGTTCAATCTTCCTACAACAAAAGATCAATTATGATATTTTTCTTTTCTAACGTAACGGTTTTCGAAAGGGTAGAACGGATTTAAGAAAAATACTATTTAGGCTGAAAAAGAACTCTGACAATTTTAAAAAATAGATGGTGCACAACCAGTCTTTCGATGCGTACATTTCTGAAACTTTGCTTGTCCAATAGCTTTCGAAACTATTGAAGAGATTCCACAGCTTAATACAGTTTATGATAAATGTAAAAATTAGTAAGCAAGAAATGACATAAGGGTTTATCATCGTCAATGTTTTTAATCAAATTGTTTTATCTTATGCAACAAGTATTTATTACGTAATCGTTGTAGATTTGTTGTTTATTTATAATCAACATTTAAACTGAATTTGTTAATTTGATATTTCGTACTGTCTTAATGCATAATCCACTTCATAAAACACCAAATTTGAGAATTAATTATCCTTTGGAAAGATCACTTGAAGATGATCTTATACGTCGTACACTGGTCCAACAATCTCTCACTATTGGTTGTTTATATAATATTAGAAAAGATACTATCGTGGACAACATATCGTTGGGAACCAATTCCATCACTAAACCTATGATACATAAAGTCGTATATTGTACAGTACTTAAAGATCATATGATTGAAATTAAAAATCTATTTCATGAAATTGATATTGACGATGATCTATGTTTAAGTTTAATATTAAATAGTATTTCTACCGGAGGAATAACTTCAATAATGCATTCATTATTTAATATGAATGAAAAAACTCGAATACTTCATTATTGTTATGTGAATGAAGAACGATTTATTAGTGGTCCAGCATTTAAGTCAAAAGACAATATGATGGAGAAAATCTTTAATCAAGATATAACTCATATGGTCGTTGGAATTCGATCAGGAATTCATGTTGTTGTTGTATTACAATTGTCTGCAGATTATGACAACGGAATTGATAATCTTTTGGAGAAAATAAGTCAAAATTTAATAGATAATATTTTTAATATATCAACGAACGACAAACAATTACTTTCTCAAATTATAACAACAAGAATATTTTCAAATATTCCAGATCTTATTGGAAATAAAACATTATCTGGTTTATGTACACATATAACTCACATAAAGCAATTAATTGCTGTTCATCGTCCATTACAATGTTTTCTTCTTCCAATTCAATGCTTCTATCCATCTTACATAAAAATTAAAACGAATTATGTTCCATTGAATCTAGATACTCTTACAATAATAAAACAATATTTATTTCCTTTATGGTTTAAAATGAAACAGTTGACAATGTTTGTTAGGTCCGATACAGAAGAATTATTGAAACAATATTTCAAACCAGAATTTGATCAAATTCAACATGATATTCAAGAAATTCAAGAAAGATATTCAACGGAAATTATACAAATTCGTAATTTGATAGCCGAATTTCATAGTGGAAAACTTAAACAAAAATTAATGTCTGAAATATTCATAAAAATATTTGAACCTTTATTAGAAAATAAAATTGATCTTTGTCTTGAACGACTTCAACCTTTGAGAGAAAAAGTAATGTTTATCAAGGATTTAAAACAAAAAAATATCAAATATTTGAATATGGAAAATGTTTCAATTCAACAAAATGATGATATCAAAACAGTTTTGTTAAAAATAATCAAACCAAACAAAGAAGAACTCATTTTCTGTTCTACTGAACATTTAAAATATCAAGATTCACCCAAATGGAGTGAATATTATAGCAACTGGATTCGAAAAGACGAAACCAATTCTTCAATAGGTCTTATCTATGTTGATTTCTCTTACATAACTTCATTTCATTTATCAAAAACGCAAATATTTTCAATACAGCCATTGGGAAACATCGAACAACAGACTGATTCATTAAATCGACCAATATCCTCAACGAAAGAACCTATCAAATCACCCGAAAAACAATCAGAAGAAACCAGAAAACGACTTAGTTCACCAGAATTAGTCAATTCATCAAATACACCAGAAAAGTCTTCAGAGAAGAACGAGACTGTTCCTATCGATGCATCTCCAAGAGCACGTCAATCACTTACACAATCAGCATCTGAAGACTTGTCGAAAATAAACGACGAATCTAAGGAAACTCTACCGACATTTTATGACGCGATGTCATCAAAAGAATCAATCGTAAACGACACAACCCATGGAACAATTCCATTAAACAGTGTTAGAGAAGATGTGACGTCACTTATATCGCCATCACAGCCAGTTTTGGAGCCTGCTTCAGAAGAAAATGATTTATCAAGAGACGTGAAAAGTTCTACAAATTCAAACGAACCATCAAACACATCAGATCAATTGCTGAATGAACAATGTGATCCGCTGGAAACACAGTTCAAAACATCTAGCACACCGATCATATCTACTCTGCGTACTACTTCATCAACCGATGTAGAACCAATAAATCCTGAAGTACCTCTCGCTTCGCAGACAGCATCACAATCATCACCGACACTAACTGACACATCTACATTAGAAAAGCACTCATACGTTAAAGATCATGGTAACGAGACGTCATCAACACTTTCAAGGTCGGATTCACAAGTCAGTCAACGAACAAGAGACCAGAATAACAATAAGAAAGAATCAATCGATCAAATGAACTCGCAAGAACCATTAACAATTGAATGCATCCAATCATCATCATCATCATCATCAGAATTACAAAGAAATTCTTCGCAAGAACAGAGTCCTGTAGAAAACTTATCAATTCGCTCGAATTCAGCTAGTGCAACAAAGAAAAGGCGTCGTCCTAATTCATCTGGCTTGACAACTGACAATTGTATAAATGTTCTCCTTCTGGGCGAATCGGGTGTTGGAAAATCCACTTTCATCAACGCACTTGCTAATTATATCACATTTGAAACATTTGAAAAGAGTCATTCTAGTGAACCTCTAGTTGCTATTCCTGTCTCATTTATGATAACTGTCGGTGATCATTTCGAAGAAAAGGTTGTTAAACTCGGTAATGAAGATTCTAATGAAGATCATGAACATCCAGGACAATCAGTAACTCAAAATTGCAGATCTTATGTTTTTCCACTTAAGGATACTCAAACGACAATAAGAATGATCGACACGCCTGGAGTGCGAGATGTACGTGGTCTTACTCAAGATGATCTTAACGTGCAACATATTATTTCATATATAAGTAATCTTTCACATTTGAATGCCATTTGTATTCTTCTTAAACCCGATGAGTCCAGATTAAATATTATTTTTCGTTCATACTTGGATCGTTTATTAAACTTTCTAGGCGAAGACGCTCGTAATAATATTATATTTTGTTTCACAAATACTCGAGCAATGTTTTTTACACCTGGTAATACGGCTCCTCTATTGAAAGAAATGATTTCATCATGCCCTATCAAAGATATTCCTTTCAATAAATCAAACACATTTTGTTTCGATAATGAATCATTTCGTTATCTAGTTGCTCTACAAAATGGAATCAAATTCGATAAACATCAAGAGGATGAATATGAGCAAAGTTGGACAAACTCAGTCATTGAATCAAATCGTCTTCTTCAATATATTTGTGGAACAGAACTCAAATCTTATTTTGAAAATGAATGGCGATCGATTGAACATGTTCAATTAAAAATTCAGCAAATGATTCGTCCAATGTTGGACACGACAAGAAATCTCTTTCAACATATCGTTTCATTAGAGAGAGATTCGAATACGCAACTTATAAAACTCAATCCAGTTTTTCTGAATCACTCATCATCTATCTGTTATACATGTGAATCTACTTGTAAACGTTACAATGACATATATATTTTTGAATATGATTTACACATTGATTCAGATCCGTGTAACAAATGTGACTGTGTCCGTGAAAATCATGTGGCAATCGACTATCACATTCAATATGAACTCTCAAATGAGATAGATGAACAATCTTTAGAACATAAGGAGTCAACTGTCGAGCAATTAAAAAACACAATCATAAAATTCGGTAAATTCTATGCTAAAATTCAGAATATATCAAGTCAAGTAGATCCAATTTCGTCTGCTTTAAAACGAATGATTGCTGAAGAACAGAAACTCTGTTCACAAAATGATTCAACATGTCTTAATCCGCAGTTGTATGATAAACTGGTTAGTTTTGAAAAAGAATATGAGCATGAATTGGAAACATCAATATTAACCGATACATTAGTCGATTTATCGAGTATGTATGAAAAAATTGAAATGATTAATAATATTGATGAAATAAAGCAACAACTGTTATTAATCAAGAAAAAACAACAAATATGTATCAAGAAACACGAGAAACAGCTCTTATCAATGATTCAATAAACTTTTTATTCATCAATTTAATTAAAAACAACTTTTATATGCACTATAATGAATGATGAATTTGAATAATAAATGAAATTAATTAGAATATTATGCGTTTTTTTTCGAAAAATTGAGTAAAAATATATTAGGTTCAGTTTGTCTTTAATTAATTTAGTTTATTTACGTATGTTCCTTCGATAATTTTAGAAGAATATCTTTGATGCAAAATGTTTCTTTCTTTCAGTTACTTCTTTGTTATTTACTCTTAATGCTAATGATACTTTTTAAAAGAGAATCTGATTGAAATGTAACTACAATATTATGTAGTCTTATTGTAAACTCATCTCAATGGGTGTGGGTGGGTGTGGGTGTGGGTGTGGGTATACGTCTGGTTGAGTAAGTAGGTGTGAATGTGTGGGATGTCCATGCGAACGAGTAGAGTATAAACAGCCGCACTGGCTAAAGATAAATCTGAACAGCAATGATGAATTTCTGCGTTGTTTTTGCTGTCAGTTTTACGTAATCGAAATATAGCAACGAATAGAATGAAAACAATATTATTTTAAACTCGATA